GAGGGCACAAAGCTGGGGAAGATGGATCCGTTTGGAGGTCATGACAACGGTCCAGGGAAGGGCGGTCGTGAGGGCAGTGGTGGTAGGGAGGACACAGGGGGCCTTCAGATGGCAGAAGACCGGCAGGACAAGACCAGCAGAACCCTGAAGGTTTGAGGAAGGAGCCTGGGCCCAACGTTCAAGCTTGGGCTCCACCTTACTGGGGGGCCGGTGGTCCAGGAGGGGCAGGATCCAGAACAGAGCCAAGGACGGAACTGAAGCGCCAGGGGGAGGAGCGGAGCCTGAGGGGCTGGTGTGCAGTGCAGGGTCCCCAGATGGAGGAGGAGGGGCCAGCACAGGCCAGAGAGGGCGCACAGTGCAGACGGTGCCCTTGCCCTCCTGGAGGACCAGTGACCAGAAAGCACTCAGGGTGTGTCGAGGGAAGTGCCCGGAGCAGAGGGGAGGGCAGGGGCAGACCTGACCTGGAAAGCGCAGGCCTGGCAAGGATTCTCCAAGGGCAACCAGGAAAGGGCAGAGGACAGTGGCCCCCCCCCCACCCCCGGTGCTGTCCTGGGGGTGAGGGTCCAGGGATAGCGCGAGGAGGGCAGAGGACAGGCGAGGTCAGGGCCTTTGGTCAACCCCCTCTGACAGCAACTCCTGACAAAGCAACTCTGCTGGGCCGCAGTTTCCACAGCCACCGTGCAATTTACTGTCCAAACATGGATGCTTTGAGAGTGGAAGTAATAATTACTCCAGAACAAGAAGAGTGAACTAGACCTGCCCTGGGCACACTAGCTGTGGGGCAGGAGGCTGGCCCTTGTGCTCCGACCCTGGGCCTCAGGGAAACCCTTGCTGTGACCGCTGTCTCCCCTGACCTGGCCCTGGGCATTGAGTTGGACTCACACCCTGGAGCACCCTGACTCTCCTCAGAGACAGGCCTGAGGGAAGGCAGCGTCTCCCCAGTTCGAGGTCCACTTCCCCACACCCTCTGCTTCTCTGACACGGATGCTGCCACCGTCTCGAGGGGACCAACAGCCCCTAGAGCAATGTGGTCCTTCCTGGGACCCGGTGTGGGGCAACCTGGAGACCCCCTAGGAGCCTGCCAGCCTGAGAGGGGTGCACGGAGGCCAGCGTGGTGTCCACCCACTTCCCCTTGCACTGTCTGGGCGCACTCTCGGCAAAACCCTGGGATCCCCAGTCTCCTCCCTTCTTTTGGCCCCTCCATTTCCAATGGGCTGCCAGGAGGTGTCCCCACATTCCCCCTTCCTGGTCTTAGTCGGGCTCTCCCAGCACCTGCCTGGATCACGGCACCAGGCGCCCACCAGGCCTTGCAGCCTTCAGACCGGCTCCACCCTGCCAAGCTCAAGGCTCCCTAAACCCAGGCCTGAACACAACCCTGTCGGCTTGACGAGCAGACAAAACAAAAAGAACAAAAACAAACAAAGACCCTTCCGTGGGAGGAAAAACATGAAAAAACAAAGACATCGCCGCAGAACCCAACTTGCCTACAAGATAAAGTTTAATACTTCCTCCGCAAACTGACTCCAAGGCAGCTTTCAGCCGGGCTTCCTCCACGCAGCTGCTGCCCAAGCTCTGGGGCCTCCCTCCCAGGCTGGTGCCAGCCCCACGCACCTGCAGTGCCCTCTAACTGATGGGTTCCTGCAGCTTCTTTACGGCCCTCCCAGACCCGACCACCTCTGCCCCATCCCCTGAGCCCCTGGAGCTGCCCTTGCCCCAGACCAGGTGGGAGGGGGATTCTGTGTCCTCCATCTCCCTCAGCCCGAGGTGCAGGACCCAGGGCCTGTTTCAGACTCCACACATGACAAATGGCAATTGAACTGGCTGAGCCCCCCCAACTCCCAGTTCTCCAGAAGGATGCCCTTGAGGGATGGACAGGATGATTTCTGAGGTCCCTGCTAACTCTGCAATTCCTCAATGCCACGGCCTAAGGTTGGGGCCCCCCTAAGGATGGGTACCCCCCCCATCACCCTGCTTCTATCCCTCCAACTAAGGAAGAAAAGGAACAAAAAAAATTTTAATGCTCCTACACCAGAAGTCCTCAAAAATGGCTCAGGGATCCCTAGGGGTCCCCAAAATCCTCTGAGGGGTCAAAATTATTTTCATAATACTACTAAGAGGTTATTTGCCTTTTCACACTCATTTCCTCATGAGTGGACAGTGGGTTTTTCCAGAGCTATAGGAGATGTGAATTTGCAACAAATTGAATGCAGAAGCAGATACGAATCCAGCTGCTACTGTTAAGTCAGACATTAAAAATATAAAACAGGGGGGCCGGCCCGGTGGCGCAGTGGTTAAGTTCGCATGTTCCACTTCGGCGGCCCGGGGTTCATCCATTCGGATTCCGGGTGCAGACATGGCACCGCTTGTCAAGCGATGCTGTGGCAGGTGTCTCACATATAAAGTAGAAGAAGATGGGCATGGATGTGAGCTCAGGGCCAGTCTTCCTCAGCAAAAAGAGGAGGATTGGCAGCAGACGTTAGCTCAGGGCTAATCTTCCTCAAAAAAAAAAAAAATATATATATATAAAAACAGGGGCCGGCCCCGTGGCCAAGTGGTTAAGTTCCTGCACTCCACTTCGATGGCCCGGGGGTTTCACCAATGCAGATCCTGGGTGCGGACACGGCACCGCTCATCAGGCCATGCTGAGGCGGCATCCCACATAGCACAACCAGAGGCACTCACAGCTAGAATATACAACTATGTACTGGGGGGTTTTGGGGAGAAGAAGAAGAAAAAAAAAGACTGGCAACAGATGTTAGCGCAGGTGCCAATCTTTAAAAATATAAAACAATGCCACTCTTTTCACCAAATTTGTTAGTTTTGGAAAATAGAATCATTTTTCTTTAAAAATATATTATAACATGCCATGGGTTTAATATTTTTATTTTTAATTTAATAAATACGTTTAAACTTCTCAATTTTAATTTTTAATACCTTGAATGTTGTCAGTTTCTGTATCCCACATAAACAGAAGCTCTTGGGGTTCTCAGTAATTTCTAATTTGTAAAGGGGTCCTGAGACCCCTACGCCCTCCCCACACCCTCTGCTTCTCTCTCATCTCAGCAGCCAAATTTCTTGAGAGCTGTCTGCCTCCTCTCCCCCTGGCTCCTCAGCCCCGCCTTGTGGCTTCCCAGCTCCATTCCTGAAATTACTCTCACGGAGGCCACGAGGATCCCCGGCATTTCATCCAATGGACACTCCTCTGTCCTGATTTTCCTCGCCTTCTCAGGAGCGTGACCCTGGTTCTCCTCTCTGGCTGCTTGTTCTCGAGTACTCAGGCCTGGGCCCTGCCCTCTTCTCTCTCTACCCCCAGGGCTTCAAGCACCATCTCCACGTGCATGGCTCCCAAATCTCTCACTCCAGCCCATATTTCTCCCCTGAGTCCCAGACCCACATAGCCAGCTGCCCCGTGAACTTCCACGTGGAGGCCGCTGCCCCACATAGCCAGCTGCCCCACACAGGCACCACCAACTCAAATACAGGGCCGATCTCCACGCCTGCCCTTCCTAACTCTGCAGGAGTCACCCTCCCAGTGACTGCACCAGGAACCCTTGCCCTCTGCCCTCTCCCTTGCTCCCCTCATCAACCTGCCACACCAAACCCTGTCGCTCCCTCCCCTGCACTGCTCTCAAATCCATCCTCCTGTCCGTTCCACTGCCACATCTCAACTCAGGCCACCCTTACCTTCCCCTGCCTCTCTTTGGCCTTCCTCCTCCGATCTGACCCAGCAGCCAGTTCCTTCTTAAGCAATCTCTTCCCTGCTCAAAGAAAGCCACAGGAGGCCCCACTGACACAGGAGGACTGCCAGCTCCACAGCACAGCACAGCTCACCATGCTGGCCAGGGGGGTGCCGTCCTGCCACCTGTCCAGCCTCATGTCGCCTCCCCGACACCACTCTGTCCCAGCTAGTCTGACCTTGCTTACCCCTCTGGCCCAGGGTGTTCCCTGCCTCTGCTCACCAGAGACCCCTTCTCAGGCTCGGGGCACGGCTTCACCATTCCCTCCCACAGGATGCCTTCCTTGTCTGCTGCCTCCGGGTCAGAAGCCCTTTCTCAGCTGCCTGCCTCTTCTCCCATCACGGCACATTTCACACTGGATGGTCACTATTTAGAGTTCCCAGGCTCCAAGTTCCCTGAGGAGGAGGGCTCCTCACTGCTGTGTCCCTAGAGCCTAGATCGGTGCCTGGTGTAAGCAGCTCAGTAAATACTTGCTGAATTAATGGCCTGAAGAATGCGAGCCCATGTGCAGCTGACAGGCAGCCCTCCCCACCCCCATTCAGAATAGAGCAGGGCTCTCTGAGCACCCAGACTGGCCGTCTGGCCCTGCCCCAGCACAGGAGGCCCGGGAGGTGGTGCCCAGGGCTCCCTGCCACCGGCTGCCTCCTCCTGCTGTGTTGCCCTGACTGAGGTCCCAGAAGAACCTGGCTAGATGCCACACTTGGCCAAGACAAGGCCGCCAACACATGGACATCCTCCCCAGGCACTACAGTTGCCCAAACGGGTCAGAGCTGACCCTGCTGGGGACACCAAATCCAGGACACCAGCCACAAGAGCAGCCGCAACACATGTCACACAGTGTCCTAGTGAACTGACGCTCGGAGGGCTGACTACTTTTCTGGAGGTCACTGGGCCGATGAGGGGAAGGGGCTGGGTTGGAACTCTGGTCTGGGTTCCAAGCCTGCCAGCCTCTTCAGGGCAGATGGAAGGAGACACAGAGCACTAAGTTGGTGGCAAGGACACTGCTGACTGGGCTGCCCCCAGTAGAGCCACATGGGCTGATTTCTGCACAACTCAGGGGCATTCTTGGCATGCACTAAGACATGAATGGCGCCCATGGGAGAGTGCAACCTGGAAGTCCTGCCTGCTCAGCCGCCCCCTCCCTGGGAGGGAAGAAGGGAGACGAAGAGGGAGGCTTTCCCCTCTTATGAGCCTTCCAGGCTTCACCACCTCAGTCGGCCCAGCTCCTCCTCTGAAGAAAGAACCACATTCCAGCACAGCACGGATAATAAGAGATCAGTTTATGGATAACAGTTTGGGACAGACTGGGAAGGTGACAGTGCCTATAGTGATGAGCTTCCCAGGACTAGACCAACAGACAGACAAGCAAACAGACAGACAGAGACAAGGAAACAAAGTCAAACGGGTAAGAGGCCCAGGCCCAGCCTCAGCAGCCTGTGTCTGGGCTCCAGATCCAGCTCTGTCCTGGGGACCTGGATGAGCAGGGCTAGCAGGGGCCTCAGTTCTTGTAGGGCCCCCTCTCCTCACTCCCTCCTGTCCCTTACCAGCAGGCTGGGACGTTTTGAAGGTGGTATTTCCAGGGTTGGGGAATGGTGGGTCTGTAGGTAAGGGGCAGAGGGTCAAGGCTCTTGGAGGCTCCCTGGGGAGGTGGAGGCCGGGGTGGTGTGGGGTTAGCAGCAGCACTGGGGGTAATCTGGCCAGGCACCAAGCACCTGCAGTGGGGCACCGCTCAGCAGGGCCCCTATGTCCAGGCCAGGCTCTCCACCTCGCCCACCACACCAACATGGTGTAATAAATAGTTTCAAGTGTAAGTCAGTGTCACGCAGGAGAGCTGGAGACTGGCGGGCAGGCAGAGGCCTACAGAGAGAAGCCCCTGACCGCCCCCGAGTCCTCTCAGCCGGCTCCAGCTGTACCAAGTCTGTCTGTGTGCACCAGAGTGGGGACCTGGCCCCCACATCCACGTAGGCACTCCCTGCAGGGGCTCAGCCCCTCAGACCAGTGCCAAAGCTTGCTCTGTGGGGCAGAAGCAGGGTAGCATGGTACCCACAGCATCCACGATGGCTGCCAGGTGCTCGTCCTGTGCCTGGGGCCCACAGAGCTGCATGAAGTCCGCCAGGCGCAGCAAGTACTCGAGGTTGTGGCCAGAGAAGCCACGGCAGGCCAGGATCTGTGTAGCAATGGCCTCCTCAGGCGCAGGGCCCAGGTAACCAGGGTTCTGCGGGGTGGCCACGTAGGCCAACGCCTTGAGGGGTTGATCAGGGGTATCTTGGGGGTAGAAGGTGACCTCCTTGGTATCATAGCCGCCAAGCACTGCCTCACGCACGTTGAGGTACTTCAGGGCCTCGCTCACCTGCTCACCTCGCACCTGGTATGCCACACCCCAAGTGCAGCCCTACGAGAAAACATGGACATCAGAGTCAGTGACAACAGCTCCTTGGTGGTCCCTCCCCAGGACTGTGCTCTCTAAGGGAGGTGGGCGAAGGGCTGATTGATGAGCAGTCTAGTAGCAATACATCAAGCCCTCATGCTTCCTTTCTTAATAAGGGTTGACGAGACGGTGTAGCACCACAGCGAACAGGATTCCCACTGAGTGTGGTGGGAGAACTGGCGGCATCACCTGTAAGCTTGTTAGGAATGTGAGTTTCAGGCCCAACTCTAGTCGTATTAAATCAAAATCTGTATTTGAACAGATCCTCAGGTGACTTTTGTGAGAAGCACTGAGTTGACCACCCTTCCTCTTGGCCAGAGGGCATCAAATCTACCCTGCAGCCAAGGAACTATGAGCTCTACCTGTCCGCACCCCTCCATGCTGGGCCCCAGGGTCCCTCTCTTGACTCCAGCACGTACCTCATGATCTTCAAGGAGGGTCACCACACGGCCAGGCTAGGAAAGGAATAAAGATTTTGAAAAAGATGAGTTAGAAATCAGCTCTGCCATCAGTGCCAGGGGAAACCCTGCCAGCCCAGGCCTCAGAGAGCTCCACTCATCCACAGGCAAGTGCAGGCAGTGATGCATGGATGCAGGAGAAACAGACACACGGCAGTGGCCCAGACTGGTAAACAGAAAGATTCATCAACACGGTAAGCCACAGGATCACAGAGCCCAGCCATCACACAGTGATCCACTGGGCAGGTAAATTTAAGCCACAAACTCGGGCACAGGTTCACACATTTCTCCCATCAGCACGGAGTCAGTGTCTGCCCAGAGAGCCCCAGACATTCCAGGGCACCAGCGCCCACGATCCTGCCCCCACCCCTCCATTCCCCCCGGGGATGATTGGATGCTCACCATCTTGTCGCTGCCCCGATGGAAAGTGTCTCCCTGCCAGAAGCGGCGGCTGTAGCCACGCACGAAGCCCACACGGCTGTCGCTGTAGGCGAAGTCGGGCCTCCAAACCAGGGAGCCATATCCGAAAATCCACAGGGCTTGGGGGTCTCCGTGGTCCCGGGGGTGCTGCGCGGGCGGTGAGGGCGGCGGCGAGGCGGGCGGGGTGTTCTGGGCTGCGGACTCCTGCTTCATGGTGCCGGGCACAGGGACGGGCCCGGCGGCCTCCGGGGCTGGTCTCCGGCGCGGGCACGGAAGGACCGACGGACGCGCACACCTGGCCTGGCACCGCTCGGTCGCTCCAGCTGCGCAGCCCTGTCCGAGGCGCCCTTTAAACCCTCCGGCTGGGCGGCCCGGCCCACCGCGGCCAGCTGCCGCGGTGATTGGGGCGGGGCAAAACCCTTTTAGCCAATCACCTCCGGGCTTTGCTGTCCGGCTAACCGCGCCGCCCTCTGAATGGGTAACTGAGCGGCCGGCCCCTGGCCAGCGCGCCCGCTGATTGGTTCGGCTCCGCCTCTGTAGCAAACCTGGCAGCCGTGATGCAATGGCGGGGGAGGTTTCCCCAGCTCCGGCATGCAGCAAGGGAGCCTAGGATTGCATCAGGCGGAGGGCGGTGGGCGCTAGTCGTGTCCCCGGCAGCCCCTCCATGGCCTGGGCCCTTCAGGAGCCACGGCGGGCGGGTCCCAGGCAGGTGTCTCTCCAGCAGTCCTGCTGCTGGTGCACCTGGCCGAGTCACTGCCATCCCAGGCAGCACGGGCTCGTTACCAGGGACAGTGCAGGGCACGTCCAGAAGGAGCGCTCTAGGCGGCGTGGATGCCTGTCTCTGGAGCTCTGCCTGACAGCACGCACTCTGGAGAAGCCGTCGGAGGCACCCTCCGCATTCCGCACTGGTGCCTCACGCCAATGGCCCGCATGAGCAAATGGAGAAACTGAGTCACGGGGCTGGCCAGGGGTTCTGCCGAGGTTGCGAGGTTGAGTCAGGGCGGGCGCTCGGAGCTTGCGGGCCTCACGTGAGGGTTACGCCTCGGACCAGGTGCAGGACCCCCTGAGCTCAGGCAGGCTCGAAGAGGAGCCGGTCCAAGCGCTGGGAACGGCCGCGTCACTTTGGCGGTGGTGGCCGGACCGGCGGAGAGAGTCCATGAAGACAGGAAAGCCAAGCCAATCCTGCCCCGAGGCGATGGGTTTAGTTCTGCCCAGACAGGAGACGTTTGCAAGAATGGTTGCGTTACTCCTATGGCACCGAGGTTCCAGGAGCAGCGGGCAAGGAGGGCCGAACTGAGGCCCCCAGAGGGCTGGGAGCAGCTACTGGCCTTCTCCCTTGGCAACAGGCCCTCCGACCAAAAGCAATGGAGGGTCTGCAGGCTGTCTGGGCTTGACCCCTTAACCTGCGGCGAGGGGCCGCCTCCTGGAGATGTCTCTGGCTGGAAAGGGGAACTGGAGACCGCAGAAGGTCCGCCCCTGGCGGAGCAGGGGGCACTGCTGAGGAGATCCGGGATGAGCTCTCCGGCAGGGGAAATGGGCAACATTGTTTCTCACTGGATTTTAATTAGATATTTAAACTAAAAAACTGCCTGCACGCTCAAAAAGTCATTCCAAAGGCAACGAAGATATATCCTCCAGTAGGAATGTTGCATTATGGTGTGTATAGTATGAAGCTAGTTCTTTAAAAACAAAACAAGTTATACATTAATATTTGTAAAAGAAATCATCTGGAAGAATATACCTAAACTGTTAGCAGATCCTGTCACCAGAAGAGGACTTTGAATATTAAATGTAAACATTTATGGAAAAGTTTGGGTTTTTTACAAGGTGCATGAATTACTTTTCCATGTGGAAAAAATTACAGGCAAAATGGTTCTTTCTGGTCATTCCTTTCTCTTTTTCTCCATTCCCCATGTTCACTCTCCCATCTTGTCTACTCTCTCTCCTGCCCCCTTTAGTCCCCAGGAACACCTCCTTTGCTGCTAGTTTCTTAGGGAGAATATCCTCCCCTCCATCTACCATCAGTGGGTGGTGGAGTGGGAGGAGGGAAACTGGTACCAACACATTGCTGGAAGTATCTGAATCGACACAAACAACCCTTTGAAAAAGCAGCTTGGTGATACAAATGAAGAATCATAAAACGTCCCTGCCCTTTGACCCAATACTTCCACTCCAGGAAATTATTCAAAATATGGGAAAAGCCATATGCCTGAAGATTTTTCAATGCATTGTTATTTATCACAGCAAAAACAAAAGAAGAAAAACTACTTAAATATCCAAAAATAGCTAAATGTTTAAGTAAATTATGGTCAATCCACATGGTGGAGAAAGACACACACACACACACACCACACAAAGAAAACAACTTAAATATCCAGCAATAAATGATTAGTTACATAAATTTGATATAGACATAAAATTAAATCTGTGCAGTCTTTAGAAACAATTATGTATGCTTATTCTTATTGACATGGAAACCTATCTATGATGTATAATTAAATGAAAAAGCAGGTTATAAAATAATATAACTTTTTAAACTTAAAGTCTGTATGTGTTTATTTGCATAGAAAAAAAAATCTGGAAGAACATATAGAAATGCTCAGTGATTACCACTGAGTAGTGGACTACATGAGATTTTCACTTTCTTTTTTATACCAATTCAGATTATCTGGGATTTTTTTTTTAAAGACAACATAAACCACTTCTGTTTAGAAAAAAAGTTAAAAATAAAAATCCATTATGAAAAGAATGTAGTAAAAATACCTATGATTGCATAGTTAGGCAAAAATGCAAAATATGAACTACCACGTGAACTATGATTAACACTTTTAAAACAACAAAAACAAGATGCATGAGGAAAGAGAGGGGGAGCACCATATGCTAATGATGGATGTGTTGGGGTATTGGGATTACGGGTGATTCTTTTCTCTATTTCCCAAAGCTCATGAAATGTAATTTCTAATCATAAAAAGTTAGTTTTAAAGAGTAATGAATGGTTTTCTGGTGACTAAGGGGAAGATAACATATCAGAATCAGCTGGGGAGCATCTTCAAGATGCCGGTTCTCAGACGTCCGCTGAACCACAGCCCCAGGTTTCAATTACTCCTTTGGTGAGGTCATCAGCGACCAGCTCTTGCTCCAGGCAGAGTTAGGCACTTCCTCCTCTGTGCTCCCACGACCCTTTATCTCACTTCTGTTTATTTATCTGATCTCTCCTGCTTACAACAGAAACAATCATTGATCCACTGCTTACCATGAGCTAGGCCGTTTGCTAAATGCTTTCGCATCTATTCTAATCATAACCTTATCCATTACTTTGTGAAGTAAATATCATTTCACAGATGAGCAAACTGGGGCCCAGGAAAGTTAGAGAACCCACTTACGGTGATGGAGCAGCAAGCGTGGAGCCTGGGTCCAGAAGCAGGTAGTCCAGCCCCAAGCTGCCTTGCTGATAAGCATTTGACGCCCTACCCCCAACGAACCTGAGACCTCCCTGAGAGCAGACTTCATCTTGGAAGGCCCAGGGGAACCAACATGGTGCTGGCTCATGGAAGGTTCTCCACAAAAGAGGGTGGAAGAAGTGAAGGTCTTACCTGGAAAAGGCCAGGGGTCCAGAGGAGACCAGGCTCAACCCTGACCCTCCGAAAATAGGAATCCCCACAAAAGTTAGCCCATGGGTCTTGGCCACCTTCCCGGGAACATGTCTTGCCTGTTCCCGCCCCTTGCTTATCCTTGCCAACAAGACTTGTCCCTTTCCCTCCCAAGGAACACTCCCAGGCAGTAAACCATCCCACTCAGCCAGTTCCTCTCTAACATCTGCAGCAACTATCCCATCTTTCCTCCTAAAATCTCCTCAGGAAAGGGCTGCAGGTGTCACGCCCACAGAGGTACCAGCCCATGAGAGGGCATGAGAGAGAATCACCTCCACTTTGCAGAGTCACACATGATTTGCACACGATGCACACATGGTGGTTTCCTTTTTTGGATCTTTCCCAAATTAATTTTTCCTCATTGTTCCCCTTCAGGCGGTCACTTCTCATTTCCTTATGGTCTGTTCCTTCTCACTTCTCATTCCAGTCACTGCAATCAACTCCTGGTGTTAATGGGCACAATTATCTGAAACGAGGGAAGGGTGTATTTTAGGAGCTAGGGGATCCTGCTAATTTATTATGCTAAATGAAGTCGGTTTATAAAGCTGCTGATTCCAGATGGATGAAAAACCTTCCCAGACATGGGCTCTGAGCCCAGCTTGCTCACATTTGAGCCCAGCTCCACCATTTACCATCTGGGAGACCCCAGGCATACTGTCTCTGGTCCTCAGTTTTCTCAACTGTGAAATGGGGAACAATAGTGCCTACCTTGTAGGTTCTGATGAAGATTGAAAGAAATTACACCTTAGCCAGCACCTGGCCCGTGGGAGCACTCAATACACCTTAGCTCCTTAAGATTTTTACTCCAGACTTTTCACGTTCCATTTTATCCAGGGTAGAGCCATAGTCTACTGTGATATTGTGATTTATAATAAGAAATATATTTTGGGGGTCTTTGTCCTGTTTCTGACACGGGAGCTCCTAAACCCTTGGAATTTCCTAACAAGAGTGATAAAGGTGTCTTCTGTTATTCATAACAAGCCCCTATCAACCACACCTGAGTTTATACTAATTCGAGGACTTTTGGAAAGTCCCTCAGGAGGGGGAGCTGGTTGCCAGGGGAAATCAACCACGTGATTGGAGGGTTGCAACTTTCAGCCCCACCTCCCGAGCTCCAGGGAGGGGAGAGGGGCTGGAGATTGAGCTTATATAATCAAACCTCCATAAAAACCCAAAAGGATGGGGGTTCAGAGCACTTCCAAGTCGGTGAACACATGAAGGTGCTGGAAGGTGGCATGCCCAGACAGGACATGAAACCTCCACGTCCCTCCACATACCTTGCCCGACGCATCTCTTCCATCTGGCTGTTCCTGAGTTAAATCCTTATATAACATACCAGGACTCTAGTAAGTTAACTGGTTTCCTGAGTTCTGTGATTCACTCTAGCAAATTAATCAAAACCAAGGAGGGGATTGTCAGAACCTCTGATCTATAGCCAGTCAGTCAGAAGCACAGGTCACAACCTGGACTTCAACTGGCATCTGAAGTGGGTGGCAATCTTGTGGGATTGAACTCTAAATCTGTGGGATCTGATGCTATCTCCAGGCAGATAGTGGTAGGATTGAGTTCGACTGGAGGACACCCAGCTGATGTTGCAGAATTGCATGAGGGAGGAAAACCCACACATCTGGTGTCTGAAGTGAAGTAGAGTTGTAATATTGGGAGTAGAGTAGATGCACAGGGAGCGTGTTTTCCTAGTCTGACACAGTTCAGAAGAACTGAGTG